TGTTGTTTTTCTAAATTATTGGGATATTAAGTTACATGCGATAAAATGAAGCTTCAGTTCATTGGTCTAGTTTTTATTTTTTTGATCCGTAGCGACTGTTAAAATTGCCTTGACAAGCAAACGACGGAAAAACCAGAATGGTGGTCTGAAAACTTAAAAAAACTTATAGAAGAAAAAAAGCGATCCTACCAGAAATGGCTTAGTACCCACAGCGACCACGACAGAGAAGAATATGCAAGATTAAATAGAATGGTTAGACGCGAAGTATCTAAAAGCAAAAACAAAATGTGGGAAACCAAATGCGAGAGAGTGGAAAGATATATTAGAGGTACAAGAGTGTCAGAAGCGTGGAAGACAATAAGGAACCTTAGAAGAGACGAAAAGCAAAACAGTAAACTAGAACTTATAAGCATGGAAGAGTGGGAAGATCATTACAAACAGTTACTGACAGAAAACAGGAAAGAATTCAAACTAGAAGTGCCAGATTTGAAAAACGCAAAAGATATAGATGTAAATGAAATAAGTGTAAACGAGATAAAGAAAGCATTGAAGAACTCAAAAAATGGAAAAGCTGCGGGGCCGGGAAACATTTTTATTGAGCTAATAAAGCAGGGACCCGATATATTATTGGAAATACTAGCTGATATCTTCAACAGATGCCTGATAAAAAACGAAAACATTCCTGAAGACTGGAATCTGGCGTACATCAGCTCTATCTTTAAGAAAGGAGACAAAAAAAGATGTAGCAACTACAGAGGCATTAGTTTGGAAGGTTGTATGGCAGGATATTAAAAGAGAGAGTAGAAGAGAGCTTTGAAGAAATAGAAGAACAAGGTGGTTTCCGCGCTGGACGTTCTTGTATAGACAACATATTTGTGTTACAACAAATAATTGAAAAAAGGAGAGCTCGAAATTTGGACATGCATCTGGTATTTATAGATTTAGAGAAAGCCTATGACACGGTGCCTTTGAAGAAATTATTTGAAATCTTGGTTGAGGCAAATGTGAGTAAAACATATATCAATGCAATCTGGAATATGTACAAAAATCCAAAAAGTATGATCAGACAGGGGAAGTTCCTATCGGAATCCTTCCTGACATCTAAAGGACTTAGACAGGGGTGCAGTTTATCACCTACCTTATTTAAAATATATATCCAGGAGGCATTGAAAAACTGGAGAAGGAAGAGTAGAGCTATGGGAATAGAGATTGACAACCACTGTCTATCGACCTTGTTCTTTGCAGACGACCAAGTTATTGTTGCAGGTTGTGAGGAGGATGCCGACTATATGTTGAGGAAACTTGATGAAGAATACGACAGATGGGGACTCAATATCAACCTCACAAAAACCGAATACCTGAAAGTAGGAGAAGAACAAACTGAAGATCCTAAACTACACATACATGAAATTAAAAGATGTACGAATATAAATATTTAGGAAGTATTATATCTGAAGAAGGGAACTCCAAGAAAGATATACATAGTAGAGTTCAACAAGGTAAGAAAGTAATCGGTCTTTTAAACCCTCTCCTGTGGTCAAATAAAACATCCATCCAAACAAAGATAAGGATTTACAAAGCAATCGTAGATCCAATTTTAACATACGGTGCCGAATGCTGACAATTTACAGCAAAAGAAAGAAGGATGGTCGAGTCAGTGGAGATGGACTTTCTCAGAAGAGCATGTCGCATATCAAAGATGGAACACATTAGAAATGAGATCAGGCAAAGAACAAGGCGAATATATACCAGCACCGACAACATCGAATCGAGACAGCTACTATGGTATGGGCACGTAAAAAGAATGGGAGGGGAAATATGGCCAAAAAGGGCAATGGAGTATCGTCCCCAAAGCAGAAGGAAAAGATATATAAGACCTACAACTACGTGGGTAGATGGAGTAGACCAGTATATAAGAGACAGAGCTATTAACCAGGAAGAATGGCAAAATCGAGCAATATATAGAAGAGAATTAAAAAATATTGACTCAAAACTGACAACAAAAGAGACAGCTTTATTTATTTGTCAAATTACATAGAAACCAACGCCAACCCAGCACAATATTTTCTCTGCTAGTAATACATTCCTTGAAATAATAATTTCTGAATATTTTTTAAAACGTAACTCGCTATGGAAAAAATATTGTTTTATACACGACGATAAAATTGCATTATCGTCTCCCGAAATCCTTTGGGTCCACGATAAAATACCATTTTATCGTCTTTTATAGAAAATAACTATTATACACGTTTTCTAAAAAATAATAATCAAAAAATGCCGAACCTCACACCGAACGTAGCTAGAGCAAACTTTAACGTTTTTATTGGAAATGATGAAACATTTAGCTGGTGCAGAGGCCGACACAGTATCGTGTGAGTTTCCTGGAATAAAAATTCGCGTCTTTTGATTTTACGCAAGAGAGACATTTTTAGGGCCGCCGACAAATTAGGACGCGTCGTTAGGCGAATCGTATACAGCAAATGATTAAAAGTTTTTTATTGGGGGTTGATGCCGAGCGCGATACTATGCAAACTTCCAAAGTGGTACATGCAAAAATATGATAATTTTATTGATTGCGAGCATGCGGCTGTGCGTATGTGTTCATTTGAATAAAGAGTGGTGTATTTGACAGTGCTATTGCCATTGGTTATTTTCATGTAAACTGTTTAAGAAAATAAATACCTTTACTACTGTTTTGTATTTATTGTATATAAAAACTATTTATTTAATATGGGTCTAAATCGTACCTATTCAATATCTGACTCAAACCTATTCTTAACCTTTCCATTTAGAAAAAATGAACATTCATCGAAAAAACAGATATTCGATAGAATGTTAGAGTTGTTGTTGACTTTACGACTCATTATTTCACAAAACTGTATTCTTCTGTCAAAATCATCGTCATAGAGTTCTTGCAGTATCATGTAATATTCCTGTTTGTTGTGCTACTGTCTGCAAGGAGCTAGTAGACTCTGCATCAGATAATTCGAAAACCTCAATTTGGGCTCCTTCAATCATCACTCGTAGGTTATTTATTTTTCTTTTACTCACCGAACCAGTTTCGGAGACCTTGGAGCCTCCAAATCCAGCTTTCCAATATCTGTGACTTAATTCACGATTTTGATTTCTTTCATTGAAAACCAATGCCGTCCTTTATGCGCACTTCTCCATAAACGAAAATAATTTTAGTTCTTTCTTGAAGAGAGTAAACCATTCTCACACTTTACGCACTTACCAAAAGTTATCACTGATCAGCTCAATAAGTAAATGCGACCTAACAATAGTAATATTCCTGTTTTGACTACATCTTTCAAATTTGCTGAACATATTTTTTGTTAAGACGTATTTTTAGAATTTTATTTTTCCTATACGACCACACGCAGATATATTCCTAATGAATCACATCATAGTGTTGAACATAAAATGGCTAGTTTAAATTTCTTAGTTCATAGATTACTTAGTTTCCCACTTTCCAACGAATGATATGAAATAGAAAGAGATTACATTAGGAATGTAGCTGAGTGTAATGGATATTCTCCTTCCCTAGTTGATAAATTAATTAGAAAACGTAGGTATAGGTTAATGATTTCTGAAAATTCGACTTTTCAAGTGGAGAAAGATACGTCTAAATATTTTTCGATACCGTTTGATAGAGAGTTATCCCGTGGTCTAAAACTTGTGTATAGTACTAATAATAAATTACAACAATTATTATGTAATCCAAAAGATAAAACACCTCCACTGGAAAGGTCAGGTATTTATGAAATTTCTTGTAAAGATTGTAATCAGAAATATGTTGGGCAAACTAGAAGATCAATATTAACTAGATTTAAAGAACATTTAGCTCAGATAAGATATGGTAGACCGGATAAATCTTGCGTTGCCGAACATATTGTTGATAATGAACATTGTATAGATCTTAATAATTTAAAATTAATTAAACAAGTCTCAAATTACAGGCAATTAGATGCATATGAAAGCATCATAATTAATAAATGTAAAGATAGTATGAACAGAGTCAACGGTCCAATTCCTTCAAGTTCTTTGTTCCTACTACTCTAGTGGCGGAAATCTAACTGTTACGCTCAGTAGGCTCTGACTTGGTTGGCTAGATTTTGCCACGCCCACTCGGTGCCCACTGAGCGAGTATATAAACGCTCAACTTGTAGATTGTACTTTAGTTTATAATCATCTGCTGATGATGCTAACATGGTTAGCGAAACGCGCGTCCAGTGTAAAAGTAAAAGTGTTTTGGTGTATTGTGGTGATTTAGTGTTTTTATTTTGCTGTGTAACGCCAAAGGTTCCAACCCTCAACTGTAATTAATTTTTGATGTAAATTTTTTGAGGTTACTTTGCCAATTCCAAAAAAAAGTTTCAAAGGATGCCACCCATGGCCGTGGCGAAAGGGAGGCAAGGGAGGGCTATGCCCCCCCCCCCCGGAAGTTGCCACTCGTTTGAATTTGAGAAAATAAACGTTAATGTTTATAATGTTTTCTATTTATTTGTATTTCTACCCCCTAGAAAAATGTAATGGCTACGTCCATATTGCCACCTAATCTTCTAATCATTTCTACCACAAGGAGACAAGCATTGCAATAATTTTTGTGTAAACACTAGCCTGAAAACCAAAATCTCAATGCAGGCATGTTTAATTGTTTCTGCAACTTTGAAACACGATTATTCGGAAACCTTTGGACAAAATGCAACAAAGTAGGATAATATTGAAAAGAGAATTAAACGCTCTTTAAAGCGATGTGCTATTTGGCCCCCATTCCCATAAGATTCTAAGAGTGACATCTACCTCTCCTAGAGAGTTGAAAGAAAAAGGCTAAAAATATTCATTTAAAGTGTCCCCTTACAAATAAAATTGACGTCTTTTTCCGATTTTTTATATTTTTAACTGCAAGAAAGATATTAAGGGTGGAAAGTTTTAAAATTGACACAGTGTATTTAAACAAATTATAATAAAAAATATCATTATTTTTGTTCTTTCTGCAGCTCCGCCGATAAACAAATGCCGTTTCCCCTCCTGGCTGGCCAACTACAATCACTGGCACACGCTGGATTACTCGGCCAGCTACAGTTTTCATCATCGCAACTCGACGTTGCGCATCACCAATTCCAGCGGCGTGGAAATGAAGGTGGTGTGCGTGCAAGTGAAGCACCAGGGGGCGGCCAGGGAGGACGCCCACGTCACGCTCGTCACGCATTTCACCATGGGCTGGTGAGTTTTGCTTTCATTATATACTAGGGTAAACTCGGTTGTAGTAAATAAAATACATAGCGTCACAAATTCAGATAAAACATTTATAGCACACTATAAATTAATATACAGGGTGTCAAAAAATAGTGTAACTAACTTGGGTGGGTTGATTCTCGAGATAAAAATAAAACAAAAATTTTCTATGGACGTATGCCCTAAAATGCTCTCCAAAGAACTTACAGTCCTCCAAAGGTTAAGTAAAAATAATATACAGGGTTGTACGAATATTCCGGAAACTTCGACAGCACATTCTGCAGATAAAAATAAGTTAAAAAGTTCGTACAAATGTATGTCCATTCGACGACCGGTTTCGGAGATTTTTCTCCATCATCAGGCCGACTTTGCTGTAACCCTCGATCAGACCAACGAAAAGCAGAGAATAGCATTTGAGTACAATAAGTACTACTATGATGAGAGTGCTAGACGATCTACGCCATCTACCCTACCTAAGCTTTCTTAGCTCCATCTACGGTAACGTGGACGAAGCAGGCATGTTTGTTCAGTAGGCCGCTGGTTTTGAATTTTGGCGGTACGATCCGTGATTGTCACGGCTACCGCTAGATGGCGTAGAGCGTCTAGCACTCTCACCATAGTAGTACTTATTGTACTCAAATGCTATTCTCTGCTTTTCGTTGGTCAGATCGAGGGTTTCAGCAAAGTCGCCCTGACGATGGGGAAAAATCTCCGAAACCGGTCGTCGAATGGCTGTTCCCTTCGGTCTGATGAACTTGAAAACTGAGAATAAGCATATATGTAGGGTTTTTTGGCCCCTTTTTCCGCTACTCGTATTTTTGTTCATTTAATAATAAATTTTTGCGATAAAATGATAATAAAACAGTTTCTGTTGAACCTTTGGCAAAATTTGGCAAACATTTCAAATTTATGATTTCAGTCTAATAACTATTTAGTCAACATATATTAGGGATGTCCCAAAAATAAAATAAATCGATATTTTGAATCGATTCAACATCGCACATAACAAGATCGATCCAGAAAAAAATCGGCAACAAAAGATCGATCTTATTAAATATCGATATTTGATTCCGAACATATTGGTGTACTGGTATAATAAAAATATGATATAATTATAAAAAAAATTAGGTACATAAAAATCCTAAAACCGTTTATTAGCATTTTTAAAATTAAAACTGAATCAGAGTTACCTCAAACTAAATCAGAAACACTCCAGAACCGAGATATACTTATGAAAATTAGAAATATGATAACTTATGACAATATTAAAATAGAATTATTTGGCTTTTTCCACGCTTATGACGATTTTGACACAGAATATGTACCGGTAAATTCTGTGATTTTGATATACAGGGTGTCCCAGAAATAAGTGCAAGTATTTTAGGGGGTGGTAGATCTCGATTAAAGAAACATATTTTCTCTTTATCGTTTTTAAAATAAGTCGAAAATAACGGAGTTATTTTAATTTGAAAATTTCCAAAAAAAATGATTTTTTGCTAAAATTTTGAGAACCATTGGATCATTTCTGGATTTTCTTTGTTGTAAATTTAATCTAACACTTTGTAGCATTTTTTATTTCCTTTAATAAAATTGAATTTAAAAATCTATTTTTATTTAAATTTCTTAGTATTGGCGCCATCTATTTGCTAGATGCCAAAGATACCAAACTCCATTTGTTACAGCTCACTTGTTTCGATATTTAATTTTTATTAGCGCAGTGTATTATATACCAATATTGTACGCAGTTTTGAAACTGATAATTAAATAAATCATATTAATGTTAACTAACCATAATAAATGATAGAATTCCACTAAATTTAAATTGCCCCCCGTATGGTTGAAAACAGCAAATTGATATTTGATTACTTATAGATTACCACCTATATACAAAATGACAGGAAGACCTGGAATATGGCGCCCAACTTGATTAGACCTTCTGCGCATGTTGACGCTCATTCTCTATCCCTTCTATTTCTCTGACAAATATTCAAGCAAAACTAATGTGTTTGTTCTTATTTCTTATTCTAACAAGTAAATAAATCTGTAAAACTGTATAAATAAAATCGATCTTCGATTTTGAAAAAAAGATCGATTCTACCAAAAGATCGTTTGATAAAAATCGATTCGAATCGTACATCCCTAACATATATATATATAATTTATGTCAATGATGATAGGTATTGATAATTTCGATTTCAAATATCTCGAGAACCATTACTCGTAGCGATTTTTACCAAGAGACATTTTTTACGTAAAAAACTTCGTAAATGTATATTTCCTTATTCAGTAGTTTTATACAGGCACGGACGAAAAGTTATTACTCTTCAAACCAGTTAAAAAATATGTAGCTGGCGCCCTCTATAAGTAGGGGTCATATTGATATCAAAATAAAATTTCTCATATCAAAAAACTCCCCGGCACCTATTTTTATCCAAATAATGACGTTACTTCATAAATTATTTAGAAAAAATCGAAATAAAAATATAACTTCTACACCCTGTATTTCCGAAACTAAGCATTTTGGGACATACATTTATATGAACTTTTTACTTATTTTTATCTGCAAAATATGCTGCCGAAGTTTCCGGAATACAGTTCGGACCACTCTGTATAAATTGATAAACTATGTATAGAGAAAAAAACAATCCACAGGAAGGTAAGGTTTATAATAAGGTCAGAACTGCGCAAACTGTATCTAAATCCAGCATTCATAATTAATTACAAACTCTTAAAGGCTACATTAAGGTAATAAAGCGTGTCTCATCTTTATTTTCTGACAATGGCCCGTTAATTTTTTGTACCGAGCCCATAATTCACGTTAGATTTTTTCTCGGTTTTAAGGGAACGACGCTGGCGACGTCAACTCGAAGAAACGTCTATAATAAATGACCGTGAAAGACCCGATTTTTTCGAGCTGCACAGTTTATGCCCTCGCTTATTAATAAACTTAATCCCCGTCGTAAAAGCTGTCTGAAACAAGGCGAAACCCTTTCGGTTGTCGGTTTTTCGTGAGACAGGAAGAACAGGGGGGATAGAAGATTCTATTTATTTACTAGCGTGTACCCGCGACTTCGTTCGCGTCGAATTAATCATTTGTAATGGTGATGATAAAGCAAAGCAAGAATTTCCATTAACACACAAACTGGATAAAATTTTCTTACATTTATGTCAGCATGAGAAAAACAATTTGGCGATATTATTATATAACTTGGTAATATTTGAGGGGTAGTTTTATCTCGTTGGAATCTGACTTTCGAAAAATCCGTTTGCCAAAAATGCTGCTTTTTACGTCAAGCAGTTTAAGCAGAATCGTGGTTAGTTAATTACCTAGTCAATTACCCAGCTTTTTGGAACACTCTGTATGATTTTTAAAATAAATTCAAAATATGTAAAAAAAACAAAATAAATTATGCGCGTCCAAGCGTTTTCCCGAAAGACTAACCGTTTTTTAAATAACAAATATTGTTTTCACCCTCTTGGAATTTGAGATTCGAGAAACTTCTCCTTATCGAACCTCTACACCCCACAGTCAACCCGTTTGCCAAAAATCAGCTTTAAACGTCAAGCAGTTTAAGCAGAATCGTGATTGCTCAGTGGTCATATTTTATGAAACACCCTGCATAAATTTTTAAAAAATCTTAAAATATGTAAAACAACGAAATAAAATATACTAGTTTAAGAGTTTTTCCGAAAAACTCACCGGATTTTAAATAAAAAATATTCTAATATTTGAGTGGTGGTTTCACCCAAAGTTTCACCCCCTTAGAATTCGAGTTTCGAAAAGTCCCTTCTTATCAAACCTCTACACCCTAAAGCCAATCCGTTTTCCAAAAATCAGCTTTTTACGTCAAGCGCTTTACGCAGGATTGTGATTAATCAATGACCAGATTTTGCGAAACACCCTGTATACATTTTTAAAAAATCTTAAAATACGTAAAAACAAAATAAAATATACGCGTTTAAGCGATTTTTCGGAAACTTGACCGTTTTTAAATAAAAAATATTGTAATATTTGAGGGTTGGTTTCACCCCCTTGGAACTGGAATTTCAAAAAATCCTTTTTTATCGAACCTCTACACCCTAGAATCAATCTGTTTGCCAAAATTGAGCTTCTTTCGTTGAGTGGTTTGAGCAGGATCGTGATTAATCAGTTAGTCAGTTACTTAAGGATTCTATATACCGTGCTGGCAACTATTACTCTTGGGTCGGTATTTACATGGTTTGAATTCGTAACAATAGCCCGACCACTGTCGAAAACCAACTCAATTCCACTTATTTTTACCAAAAATGCAAGTGTTTGCTAACTTGCACTTAAAAATTTTCAAGCTATAGGGAAAATTACAACGACTCGTTAATAAAGCAACAAATAAAGTATCACGAGACGTAATTAAATCGTGAAGCTGAACGCATGATGTACACCTTTCCCTAGAACTTTAAGTACTGACAGACATACTGATTGGATCGACCGGTCAACTGCGACAAATCTACTATATCCCCTTCCACGTCTCTTAGCAATGTGCACAGTTTCTCGATTCATTTCATACGTTTGGCAACGTGTTAACTGTTCTCTCTTTGTTCAGGACATTATAAACGCCAACCAAACCTCGACCCAAGACTAACCTTTGCCAGCCCTTAGTATTAGTATAGATAATTATAAGTCATGTTTCATTGTTATATTTCCAAAAGAATTAAACCAGAATTTAAGTCCATTAATTGACTTTCGCAAAAACTGCCCGTCCTGAAATGAAACAGGATTTTTACGGCAATTTATTATAGGCGCTTCTTCGAGTTGATGTCCTGCCCTTAAAAAGAAGGGTTTCAGATGGGGTTTCATTAAGGCCGGTGCAAAAAATTAACGGGTTTTGTTGGAAAATAAAAACGAAATATACTTTGTTGCCGTAACGAAATATAGTATTAAGAGCTTCAAATAAATTAAGATACTTAATTCACGACCATTTGGTTTTTAGCAGTGGTAGAGACCACAAAAT